TTTTTTGGTTGATTTTTCTTTCTTAAATGGCATTTAAATATATAAAATAAATATCAAAAATATAAGTCTTTGTTTTACTATGGTTGCAAATATCAAAAAATGTCTGTATGTGACACGGCACCAGAGTTAAGTTTAGGGTTTTTCAAAATGCTGACACACCGAGCTCAAAAGGTTCGCCATCACTGCTCTAGACTGTCTATCCATTAGATGTCAGAAACACCCCTTAGTTTTGATAATCAGAAATGTCCCAGGAGGTCCCCTGGGCAGGGTGGGGAGGGCAGAATCACCTCAGCTGAGAACCACCGGTTTAGGCAGAAGGAAACGCCGAATGCAGTGGCCTATACGCAGTGGCATGGAATCACGATAAGCATTTAAAAATAAACGCGAAAAGCTCAAGGTGTGGGGTCAGCAGGTGAGAGGTGCTAGCCTTGGCGAGGTAGGTAAGACAGGGAAGGAAGGATGGTCGGCAGGTGCATGAGTTCATCCCTTCTAGAATGGGGAGGGAGGAAATGTGTGTTTTTTAAATTTATCTTTATTGTTAAAAGTGTTCCAGATGCCCCCCTTTTTCCTCACCATTGAGCCCCTTCTCCTCGCTCCCTCCCAGGCCTTCATCATAGCACTCTTGCCCGTGTCCATGGGTTATGCATCTCTGCATACTAGAGGCCCGGTGCACGAAATCCGTGCAAGAGTAGGCCTTCCTTCCCCCGGCTGCCGGCACCAGCTTCCCTCTGGCTCCTGGGACCCGGGCTTCCCTCACAGCCCTGGCTTCGTCCGAAGGTCGTCTGGTCTAATTAGCATATTACGCTTTTATTATTATGGATAAGTTCTTTGGTTAATCTTGTCCCACCCACCCCCTCTGTGGATCTGTTTTGCTTGTCAGTTTATTTTGTTCATTAGACCCCACATATGTGAGATCCTGTGATGGTTGTCTCTCTCTGGCTGGCTGATATCGCTCAGCACACAGGAAGCGTTTCTAAGCAGTCCCCTCGGTCAGAGGGGACTCAGAGTGGGAAGTCAGACCCTTAGGGCATCGAAATGCCAGTCATACAGGGCCAGACGCGCAGTGACCGAGCCAGGCCGGGCGCTCTGAACAGCGTGGGTGCTGGAACACACCCAGTAGCGCCTTCCTTATGGAATGAAAGAGCATTTTACCGGCCAGGCGTCTGAGAATGGGGGTGACGTTGTTTTCCAAGCCGTTTCTTGGTTTGAAGAGACACTGTGTTTTAGAAATAACAGTGTCCTTTTATAACTCAGATTTCAAGACTCGCTTGAAGCAATAGGAAATTCCAAGTCTTAGCTCCTGATCCCATTGTTTCAGCTACATGGGTAATTGCATATAACATGCGTATGTATTTTAAAGATCTTGTAGAGTAGACAGTAACAAGAACTGTGTCTCCATATAATATCTGTGTCGGTTTTTTATCTTTTTTTAAAAAAATAAAAGCTCCATTAAAAAAAAATTTTTTTTAAATGTTCATCAATTTCTGCGAACAGAGCTAACAAATGGGATTTCTATTTTCACTATTTCTGGCGGGGAGGCTCACCTGAGCACCTATAAACGTCTCTCCTAACCGTGAGGTGTCACGCTGGAAGGGTGCTCTTGATTGGGAAAGGGAGTCATTGAGAATCCTCGCTTGCATTAGCATTATGGGAGGTGTTATGAGTTAAAACTTAAAATGGCTCAACCAGCACTACCCCTTTCTTTTTTTAATTTTAGAAAGTACGATTTTTATTTTTTAGGAAGACAAAATAAACTGAAATAACTGTGAGCGATTGGAATTTGGGTGGACAGAGACTTAGAGGCGCATGTGTGAGGTTGGTGTGCCCTCCTGCTCTTCTCTATTCCCCGCCCTTCCCACTCACAGCTGAATCGGAAGCTGCAGTGTGTGCTGTCCTGGCCCCGCTCCAGACACCCCCAAGTGTGGCCATTCATAATGTGGGTTATATTTAGAATCAGGGAGAGCTGCACTTTGCAGTGGCGGTTTATTTGGGTTTGAAGGAGTGAGTTCTGTTGTGCAGAATGTCTTAACATTTATGAAAACAGCCTATGTTTTTATCTGCGCCCATTTCCACAGGGATTTCCCATGATTTGAGATACTCGTTGGGGTTAGATTTTCCGCATATGAATTTGCCAGCTCGTGCTAGACTTCTGAGACAAGCTCCGCATTTTCTCTCTGGTCAACACAGCTGAGCTGGGCGGCCCTCTACAGATTCCAGCAGAATTGGAAAGCAGCGATGCCCATTTGATAATAATCGCCTGTGTGTAGATGTAGCCATATCCGCTGTAGGTCTCTGGGCACAATGAGTATTATGTCCAAAGAGCAATATGTCAAGTATACATAGATGAGATACCTACTGTGTTCCAGGACTAAGAATGTAAACATAAAATCCTTTAATTAGGTTTTGCCTTCATTTAAGAATGTAATCATTCTATATACAAAGTATTCCCAAGAAATGTATGCGCACTTTAATAACTGATAGCTCAGTTTTGAAAATGGAATTTATTGTAATCATTGTTAAATTATTAAAATACATTCAATTAATAATTATTAAATATGGAGATATCTCTTAGCTTGCATAAGCATTGTAGTGAGGTATTATCGATTAAGTAAACTTAACACCTTACCAATTACATGACTGCCTTTATAATTATTCAAAGTGTGTGTATACATTTTTTGGGGGACACCCTATAGTTGAGAATAACAAGTATGAATTGGAATAGGAGAAAATATTGTATCAACCCTGTTATAATAGAATGAATGCATATAAGAAAACATGCCCACAAACATGTTAGCATATGTAATGATTGTGAATGTACATAGGATCAACTTGCTAAATAAAATGAGGTACCGTTGTTGATTCATCAGATTCATCATATTTTCCATTTGGCAAGGGGTTGAGGAGTTGGTTTGAACACAGTTGATGAGGGTAATATTTCAGTGGCCAGTTTGTAAGTATGTGTCAAATTTGTTGATATGCCTACTTTTTGACACAGCAATCCCACCTAAATAAAAAAATCTATACTAATAAAAGGGTAATATGCTAATTAGACCGGATAGACTGGATGTCTTCCGGACGTCCTTCTGGACAAAGCCACGGTGGTGAGGCCGAGGCAGAGGCGGTTAGGGGCGATCAGGCTGGCAGGGGAGAGCGGTTAGGGGCAATCAGGCCAGCAAGGGAGCAGTTAGGGGCAATCAGGCAGGCAGGCAGAGGCAGTTAGGTTAGGCAGAGGCAGTTAGGGGAGATCAGGTAGGCAGGCAGAGGGGTTGGGGCAATCAGGCAGGTAGGCAGGGGTAGTTAGGGGCGATCAGGCTGGCAGGCAGAGTGGTTAGGGGCGATCAGGCAGGCAGGCAAGTGGTTAGGAGCCAGCATTTCCGGATTGTGAGAGGGATGTCAGATTGGAGAGGGTGCAGGCCCAGCTGAGGGACCCCCCCCCTCCTGTGCGTGAATTTCGTGCACCGGGCCTCTAGTAATGTATAAAAGGAAAACATATACTTTGTGAATTACATATGCTTTCTTCTCCCTCTCAAGATTCTTTATTGTCTCTAGTCCCCTAAACTGGGTAGAAATTAACATGTGATAAAATAAATGAGACCCGTGGACTTGAGGGCCCGATCACAGTGCACTTGGACGTTGAGAAGTTCCGAGGAGAAGGGAAGGCAGAGCCCGGCTGGCAGTGTCTGCTTAGCTGTGAGTTCAATACACCTTCCCATGAGCAGAGATGAAACACGGTTCAGTCTCTCCAGACAGAGACCAGACCCGCACTTGGCCAGTTAAAGAGACTCCATCGGGGAATCCCGGTGTGTTACTCGGAATGAATGATGCTGTGCTAGTCGTGCGGCGTGAAGAGCCATTTACAGAACAGCTGTCACGTCTTCTTGAGGAGCTGGTTTTATTTATGTGACCTCTGTCTCCTTTTAGAAAGTGCACCAGTACACGTTAATCATCCAGGCCACCGACACGGAAGGCAGCCCCACCTACGGCCTCTCCAACACGGCCACGGCCGTCATCACGGTGACCGACGTCAACGACAACCCCCCTGAGTTCACTGCCATGTCTGTAAGTGCCGAGGCCACGCAGACCCTGGGCCCCGCGGGCGCCCCTGGGAGGCGGCGTCCTGAGTGACATGGGTGTTAGTAGAGGTGGGACTTGCTCAGCCTCTTTGTAGACTGGCTACTGACTCCAACATTTCCTGCCCCTTGAACCAGGTTTCCAGTGCGGCACCAAAGTGACTTTTTCTCTTTTGGTCGCCAAGTCCGCTGATGAGGTCAGTGGTCGGCAAACTCGTTAGTCAACAGAGCCAAATATCAACAGTACAACGATTGAAATTTCTTTTGAGAGCCAAATTTTTTAAACTTAGACTATATAGGTAGCTACATTGTTATTAACTTAATTAGGGTGCTCCTAAGCTGGCCTTTGCCAAAAACGTCCTCAATCTGATTGAGGTATGTTCGCTGAGGTCGACCCCTTCCAACTCGCCCATCCACACTCGTCTTGTAGACTTGTTTTGTCTATCTCCTTTCATTCATCCTCTCTATATGTCCAAACCATCTCAACATACTTTTCTCAATCCTCGACACTACATCTTCTTTCACTCCACAACGTTCCCTAAAATTAACTTAATAAACTTTCCTTAAAATTTTAAGTCAACTTCGCACTGTACGTGCGCGCCCGCATGTGGTATTTTGTGAAAGAGCCACACTCAAGGGGCCAAAGAGCCGCATGTGGCTCGTGAGCCGCCGTTTGCCGACCACAGGATTAGGTTGTTAAAATATGCTGCCTCGCCCTGGCCAGCTTAGCTCAGTGGATGGAGCATCAGCCTTCGGACTGAAGGGTCCCAGGTTCGATTCCGGCTGAGGGCACATGCCTGGGTTGTGGGCTCAATCCCCAGTGAGGGGTGTGCAGGAGGCAGCCAATCAATGATTCTCATCATTGATGTTTCTACCTCTCTCTCCTTCTCCCTTCCTCTCTGAAATCAATAAAGAAATATATTTTAAAAAATATGCTGCCTCGTTGGCACGCTCCCCCCAAAACTGTGCTGTTAGAGCAAAACACGCATGTGTTCAGGTACACGGATGACATGACCGATGTTTACAACTTCATCCGCATTAGTGATCATCTCTAGTGGAAGTGGGTCCCTCAGACTCATCCTGTCCTCCCACCTCCCGTCCATCACCCTGCCACCCCAGTGGATGCTCATTTTAATATTCATGAAACTGTGACGTCCCTCGGAAAATACACTGACTGCTGGCGAACATCCTGTTATTTTTAAAGTCGGACGTAGCTGCTGTGATTGCCTGTGTCACGCTGAGTGGGGATCGTAGAGATTGGATGGGCCCGTCGGTCAGGGTGGTGGTCCCAGCAGCCAGTCTGACCGTGGTCCCGGAGACACGCTGTCCGGCCTGGCCCCGCCGCTCCTCTCACTGAGCCTTCCTTCCTGGCAGTTCTATGGCGAGGTCCCCGAGAACAGGGTGGATGTCATCGTCGCCAACCTGACCGTGACGGACAAGGACCAGCCGCACACGCCGTCCTGGAACGCCGTGTACAGGATCAGCGGCGGGGACCCCACCGGCCGCTTCGCCATTCAGACCGACCCCAACAGCAACGACGGCCTGGTCACCGTGGTGAAGGTGAGCGAGGGGAGCTCGGGCCGCGGACCCCACGGCCTCTCTGGTGGCCAGGATCCCCCTGTGTTTGTTACTCAGTCTTGTGACTTCCCTTCAAGCATCGCTAACTCTGGGACGAATGCATTTGGAGGGGCCGCGTGTTGTTTTGTAGTTGTTGTTGAGGCCAACGTAGGTTTTGCCACATCACCTCTGGAGTCTGGTTGTTTTTAAATGAGTTTGGACGGTGTTCATCTGGAGGCAGGACCGCCCTCAGCCGTGTTGCCCCGAGTGTGGCTGTGAGAGTGACGTGTGGCAGCCCGAAGTTTGGGTCCCGTGGGTGGCGGTGAGGAACGTGGCCCCACACCCTGTTCTTATGCCTCCAGGTCGCTACTAGGTCCAGGCTCAGGGGACAAACCAGGAAATGCCACAGAAGTAAAGTGGGGTGAGCAGGCAAGAAGAGGGTCCACGCTTTCGAATGGTTTTGAAGTTGCATTGCCGTTTTTAAATGCTGTTTTCAAGGCTTGAAGAAAGTGGTTCTTCTGATCCTTAATTGCCCCCTTCCCCCCACCCCCCCAAAAAAAGCCCACGCGCTGGAAGTAAAGAGATGTTAACTCCAAGTGTAATAACCAGGCAGCGCTAATCAATGCAAAAGCTCTTAAAATGGAACATCTTCCATTTGCCCACCCGGAGAAGAGATCAGCTCCCGGCCTCCTATCCCACGACTCCCGACGTGTAAGAAAACCCCAGCGTTGGCCGTCCCGGTGGCGTGTCAGCCGCCAGGGATTTCCCGTGTGTGAGTAGAACGGGCATTTCTCCCAGAATCTGGGGTTGGACGTCTGTGATCACACGGTAGTGATCCCCAGCACGGGCCCAGAATGTGACTGTCTGCGTTCTAGCCCCAGTTCTGCCCTGGGTGGGGTGTGACATGGCGAGTTCTTACCTGTGAGCCTCAGACTCCAAGCAGAAAGTGGGAACGGTAACAGCTCCCACCTGGTCCCAGCGCCGTTCTGAGGGGTAAGGAAGCGTCACACCCAGGAACGCCCACCCTGTGCGTGCCGGAGCCTCAGGGCGCGTCATGCCAGGGGGGTTCCACGTGGCTCAGGAAATCGCTCAGACGAATTCTGTCTGTCTCGCTGGCTTCTCTGCTGTCTTGTGTACCATCGTTGAGAAAGGGAGGTTGAATGGGGAGTTCAGAAAAGCTGTGTGTTTGTGAAGAGTTGGAGGTGGTCCACCTTGAGAAGTGGGTGTCGTTCGTGCTAAGACGCTGGTCTTCACTCCAGCTTAGCTCTCGATCATTCTTAGAGGAGCACGAAGCTCCGCAAGCTCTGTCCATGTTGCCCACCCAGCGGGGCGAGAGAGATGTCTGACTGCCTGCGCCCACTGGCAGGTGGTCAGTAGAAGTAGGAATCGCAGTCCAGGCTGGTCCCAGGACTCCTGGCGACGTTCCTGTTGACAGGAGGGTTCACGGAGCTTCGGAAGTTAATGTTTACACGGAGGGTTACGTGGGCATTGCCTCTCTCTAGAGTGCTGTTCTGAGATTTGGGTTTTCACAGATCAGGAAAATACCCACAATTCTTCTGGAAAACAACCAGAGTTTTTGTTTGCTAAGCAAGAAAAGAAAACCAAAAAACACTTTTCTGCTTATAAGCAGTATTATTTTTTAAGTGTAAATGTGCATATACTTTAACCCTTTGCACTCCGAACCATTCTGGACATTGGCTACCAGCTACTCGACGCTACTTTGCGGCGGAAACGTGCATTTACAGACCCTCGTATTATTTAGTATAATTTTGGAACCAAGTAACGTATTATAATGATATTGGACTTATATGAATTGGGTGACATCGAGGAATGTATATTTGCAAAAAAAAAACAATATTTTATTGTTTATGATTTTGTACAGTATGATAAGTTTTGTAACACTCCCCAATATGCATTGCAGGCTGATTAGTGCATGTTTGACAGTAATAAGTGGTTTGACGCCTGCCACCAGGTGTTTTCCTGTTAGAACACACAATGCAGTCCCGTTTTCTTTGTCCCACATCGGGAATATGTAGTTTATTGTTTAATCCGACACAAAACCCGCTGACATTTCTTGTATATATCTTAGTAATTTTACGATATTTTGATTTAATTTCTTGTGCCATTTCAAGATAAAACTTCAGGGAAACATGCATGTCTCAAAAAGTTGTGTTGAAATAACTCAATTCCCCGTAATCACTAATAAACTGCAATGTCCCCTGAGAGGGGACATCCGAGTGATATGCTAGAATTCCGATGTCCCCTGAGAGGGGACAGCGGAGTGCAAAGGGTTAAAATGTATATATCAGAGTACGATTGAACTTCCCAGTGGAGCGAGTTTAGCTTCATGAAAAATGAAAATTTTCTGGGTGTGATTGATTTTTCTTTATCGCAAACTGGACAAAGCTCCCTACAGAGGGACAGACAGCCTTCCCACCAGAGTTTGTGGACAACCCGGACCATCTCAGGTGATCTGTGTACGGAGTATTTTTGAGCAACCTTACTGTTTTTAAAAATAATCAAGTCTTTAGATGTAGCTGAGTAATTCAGTCATTACACTTGTAATGTGTGTTATTTTGTGACCATCAATCTTTGAAGGACCCAAGATTTATAAACATCTCAGCTAAATTGTGAACACTGTTTCCATCACTGGCCATGCGGAATGCATGTTTTCCAGAAGTCTGAGCAGCAGCTGTGGCAGAGCGAATGAAAAAGGAAAGTTTGGGAAAGGCGTTGATAGAAGGATACACTACAGAATGAATTTATTATTTCCCACCAAACTATGGTTTCCCTTTTCTTTCCCCCCCAGCCAATCGACTTTGAGACAAATAGGATGTTCGTCCTCACTGTTGCTGCGGAAAATCAAGTGCCATTAGCCAAGGGCATTCAGCACCCACCTCAGTCGACGGCAACCGTGTCCGTGACCGTCATTGATGTGAATGAAAACCCTTATTTTGTCCCAAATCCCAAGATCATTCGCCAAGAAGAGGGTCTTCATGCCGGGACCATGCTGACAACGTTTACCGCTCAGGACCCGGATCGATACATGCAGCAGAGTATTAGGTACCCGATGCCATTGATGCTGTTCTTACCATTTCCAGTATGTTCTGGGCTGTGCGTAAAAGGGATCACTTGAGTCAGAAATTTCCCCTGGAACCAAAACGACTTATTACAAGAGCGTTTTTAATTCTGTGATGAAGTTTCCTCAGTAGATCGGTGAATACAGCCCATTGGAAACGTAAGAATGGGTCAACTCCAGTCTGACTGGAAGAAAATGTTCTCTGGCTCCTTTCCTTTTTAAAAATATCTACACCAGTGATGGCGAACCTTCTGAGCTCGGTGTGCCAGCATTTTGAAAAACCCTAACTGAACTCTGGTGCCGTGTCACATAGAGAAATTTTTTGATCTTTGCAACCATAGTAAAACAAAGACTTATATGTTTGATATTTATTTTATATATTTAAATGCCATTTAACGAAGAAAAATCAACCAAAAAAATGAGTTCGCGTGTCACCTCTGACACGCGTGTCATAGGTTCGCCATCACTGATCTATACTAATAAAAGGGTAATATGCTAATTAGACCAGACATCTTCCGGACATCCTTCTGGACAAAGCCATGGTGGCGGGGGCGGGGCCGAGGCAGAGGCGGTTAGGAGTGATCAGGCTGGCAGGGGAGTGGTTAGGGGGCAATCAGGCCGGCAGGGGAGCAATTGGGAGATGAGGCCGGCAGGCAGAGGAGGTTAGGGGCGATCACCTCGGCAGGCAGAGGCAGTTAGAGGCTATCAGGCCGGCAGGGGAGCAGTTAGGGGCATCAGGCTGACAGGCAGAGGTGGTTAGGGGTGATCAGGCAGGCAGCCAGGCGAGTGGTTACGAGCCAGCAGTCCCGGATTGCGAGAGAGATATCTGACTGCCGGTTTAGGCCCGATCCCTGTGGGCAGTCGGACATCCCCCAAGGGGTCCCAGATTGGAGAGGGTGCAGGCCGGGCTGAGGAACCACTCCCGTGCATGAATTTCATGCACCGGGCCTCTAGTCTATAATAATAAAAGCATAGTATGCTAATTAGACTGGGAAGCCGAACGACCTTCCAGATGTCCTTCTGGATGAGCTTCTGGATGAAGCTGGGGCTGAGAAGGCCGAGCCCCTTGCATGAATTTAGTGCCTTGGGCCTCTACTTTACTAATAGTTTAGCTGGTGCTTTCATTCCAAAATCACAGAAAACTGCCACTGTAAGCAAACGGGTGACACTCGGAAGCTCATGACATTTGTCTCTCCTCCATACATCAGGGAGGAAACTCACGCGAAACCAGGAGGAGAAAGCTCATTGTTTCCGTCCTTCACCTGGGCAGTATGTGTAGGACTTACACCGTGTATCTGTAGAGCAGTGGTTCTCAAACCTTGGCTGCACATTAGATCACTTGGGAATCCTTTTAAATCC